AACCAAACTCCAGTTGCTCTGACAATATTTCTGTGCAACACTTGTGGATATACTGCATTGAAACATATATTAGGTTAATTTTCCTCTCCCAAATCCCAAGGAATTTTGCACTTTTCCAAAATGAGTACACAAAATTGCACCCTGAAATTAAAATGAGCATTCACTCTAAATTGAAAAGCCGTGTCTCTCAGAATTCATCTCCACTGGCCTCCATCATTAAATTAGTAGTGTCCCTTATTTAAGTGTTGCTCATATTTCAGATATTAGGATGGGAAATCACAAACCCTGTGCTGCCAGCTGCCCCTACTGCCTCATCTCTGTGGAACAGCTGGAGCAGTCATCATGCTATCATGCTATGTATATAATGTGTATAATTAGGTTTAGGCTTTTTTTAATCTAATGGTAGTTCCTGTGTTCTCTAGATGCGCTTGGCCTCCTTTCTGGGTTTCTATGTATGGAAATATGTATATGTAGACAAGTAACACGTTTACAGCACACTCCACTGCTTGACTCAGCCTGGCTTCCAGCCAGCCATATTTCAGAGAAATTGAACATTTTGGAGACATTGGAACTTGGTGTAAATGCAGTGGACATGGACATTAGGGTGAATGGCCGCCTCTGTATCAAACCTCAGCTCCTCATTCCCACCCTGAGCAGCACCCTACCTCAGCCAGCAAATGTCCCTGTGTCCATGTCTGCAATAATCATCCATCCAGGCTGGACAGGTACCTGATGTCACTGTGGCAGTCATGTAGCCACTCCTGATGCTGTGCCTCTCCCTGGCATGAATTATACTTCTTGGTAGAACTGCAATTCCCACAAGCAGTCCAGCTCTGAGCATCAGAAGTTGAAACACGCATCCTGCTGTTGCAATTTTCTTTATGTCTCCTGCAGCCCTGAAGAACCCAGTGAGGATTTGTATCTTTTAAACCTCTCTCTATTCCTGAATTTCCACATTGTTTCTAATGTTCTTTAGACAAAGAGGGACAAACTGTGACCTCAGCTGATGAATAAATCATCTCCCTATGCCCATCCAGAGATAGCATCAGAGCACAGCAGAACCTAAGGTTATATTTGTACCTTACAGTGTGGTTAGAAATATCTAAGTTGATTTCAAATAATCTAGTGTGTTCATGCAGTATTCCTGGCATGGTACTTGTTCAGGACCTAGGTGGCTTTGAGAAGAGCTGGCTCTGAGAGGCATCACTGGTCGTGTAGCTGCGTGTTCTTGCCACTCAGGGTAGCTCACGTGTACCTCTGTAGGGCCACATCGCTGGGTGTGCTGCCCTTGCTCACATGTGACATGGGCACAAAGCTCAGTGTTGGCTACATGCTGTCTTACCCCAGCTCTTACTGAGGCTGTGAGGCTACTAACTGTGGGCTTTTTTGAAGCATAAAGAGATGCAGGCAAGAGTATAATCTCCCAGAATTTTTCAACAACTCTGAAACTGCAGCTCCATAATCTTTGTCAAATACCTTTGCCTACACTCAGGTGACAGGAGAGTCAGGCTACCTGGCCAGGTTTCCTCAAAGTGTTTGAAGAGGAGCTATACAACCTGAATTCCCAGTGAAGCGTTCAAGTTTGTATCATTCAGTGGCTTGTCCAAGCTATAAAAGCTTATATGTATGTCCTCACAGCTGAGCTGATTCTCAGCGTTGGTGAAGGTTTCAGATCTGAGAGTTTATTACCACTAAAAAAGGAGCAATCTCACCCCTCCTTACACTTTTATCACTTAGTGTTAGCAGCAACGCTTGTTGGACTCTGATACCACTGCTTAATCCAACGGAAAAATATCCAGCAAAAACCCTATCCCACCCCATGTCCAAAAGAATCCCCTAACCTGGGGATTCTTTTGCTGTTAGTCATAAGAACCATCACAGAAGCTTTTCAGCATCACATGGAGTTGAAAGAGAGGTGCAGGGCTGCACAGCAAGAGGGAGAAAGGTAGATAAAGACAAGTGAAAGGGGCTGGGCTCTCCCCTTCCAGGACCAGTGAGGTTTGAAGGATAGACTTGAAGTGCTTTCCCATGGAATCAGTTGCCCGTGCTTCTGATGCTGTGCCTTGCAGAAGTAGTTCACATTGCAACACTGCATTTCCCTGTATTTTTAATATAATTTACACCTGCCCCTGGCTTTCTTTTTGATTTTTTTTTGACATTTCTAGGAAGAAATCCTAATCTGTGAGGTTGGTGAAGTCTTAGCACAGGTTACCCAGAGAAGCTGTGGCTAGACCATCCCTGGAAGTGTCCAAGGCCAGGTTGGATGGAGCTTGGAGCAACCTGGGACAGTGGAAGGTGTCCTTGCCCATGGCAGGTGTTGGTATGCAATGGGCTTGAAGGTTCTTTCCAACCCAAACCATTCCAAGATTCTGTGATTTCAGTGGGAGAAAAGAGCAGGCAGAGAAACTCAATGAAAAGCAGGTTCTAAGAAGAACTTCTCTAAGAAGAATATACTTCTCTCTGCCAGGGAAGAAGCCAGCTTGCAGTAGTGCCTGTAGTTGGCTGTTAGATACACACTGCATGCATAGGTATCTTTAGTATATGGACAAGCAAATTCCCAAAGCGTTTACAGTTTTTATGTTGAACTGTGACATAAATAGCTTACTTCTCAAATATGTATGTCTGTGTGAGTATATAGATACATTGTTTTACATGAGCCAGATTGTGGCCTCTTTTGCATTGCTATTACCAGAACAGCTTTTTTGTATTGTTCTACAAATGGCATCCAAAATACTTTGTGGTAACTCAGTATTGAGGAAGATATTTTCTTCCTTCATATAGTTATTTTTATATGTATGTATGTATATGCATGCACACACACCCCTGCATGATGAGGATTGCCATAGGTATTACTAAAATAATCTATGATTTCTTATTAGAGAAATTATTTAGAATGACAAATCCATGGATGCAATATCAGGTTCATACTAACCATGTGTGCGTCCATGGAAACAAAATTGTATTAAACATAAATGCCACAGTCCTGTTTCCTACTGAGTTTGTCAGAAGAGGGATTTTGCTTTAAATGCTTTATCAAGATTCAGAATTGGCCTTTGCTTACTCTTTGCTTCCAGATTAAATAGGAATGGATGCTTTACTCCAATACAGATCAAGTCCCTGGGCTTGAAAAGCCTCCTTTAAAGTAGAATTTTAACAGTGGTTGTCAGATAATTCTTCTGAGCACTTGACCATGCTATAATTATTACTCGGATATTTTCAAATTTTCTGTCATATTATCCTGCTATTTGACATTAGAAACTGCTGCCCAGACAGTTCTACCATGAAACTAATACCTCTCATTGTTAGGTACCACACACTGCCTAGCCTGCACACAGCAAGAAATACAAGCTTGTGTGTTAAAAATGCTGCAGGAGCCAAATTCCCTGTGTAGGAGCTCATTCCAGTGCTGAGTACATAACATGTACTTTTACTATTTGTGAATGGTACACAGGTTCTTCAGGTTAGAATATGGCTTATCAGTGTTAATTGGGGAAGTGATTCTAGAGATGAAGCTGCAAAAACACATCAATGAACTTCTCCCACAGTCTAATTCTTTTTATAGCTACTTATTGTTATAAAAAGTTCTTTCAGTTAGAAGTATTGAAACGGTAGGGACTTTAAAACATTTAAGAAATTTTCTGGGTTTGATTTATGCAGGCTCAATATTAGCAAATGTTAAAAAAAAAAAAGTTTCTGTATAATTTTGTTGGAAAATATAATCTGTAATGGGTCCACATTAAAGCATTTCTAAAAGAAATTCCTCAAGTATTTCTTTGGTTTCTCTCCAGAGGGATCTAAGAAAATCCAAGGACCAATTTCTCTTTTCTCCACATTTCAAACCATGAAAAAATCTGGTTTGAAATAATGTATGTTACAAATGCTGTAACATACCATCCCTCAGAGGTGCCAGAGCTGTTTTGTGCATCCTTGAAATCTTGGGAGAATCCTGTAGTCTGTTGAGGCATGGACTTTACAGCCATTTGTTCCGACAAATTCCATGCCTTGAAGGGTGCAGCGGAAGCACCGATTCCCCTTTGAATGGTTGCTCACAGCCCAGCTGCTGGGAGTGGAGGGGCTTTAGGGGAGAAACCTCTTGGCACCAGGTTAGCTGTGGTCCCAGCCATGGTGTCTGCAGGTATTTTGGACAATCTTTAAGGTCCCTTCCTACCCAAGCCTTTCTATGATCCTGTTCCAGCACAGTTCTGTTCTGGGAGAAGGGTTGCACCATTAATGCTATCAATGTGATACATAAAGTTTATTCTTTATTAATCAGTTCTGTAATTCTCATGTCATCCAGTAATTTTCCCTAGCTCAGTGTAAGCTATTTGCATTCTTCAGATCCTACAATCTGTGAAAGTGCAAAATGAAAAATACACCATGGGTAATGATTTTTGTAGTCACCAAGTTGTATATTAATTGTATTTTTTCACCAAGAAGAATAGTTACACATTTTAAGACCTTCCTCAATTTTACATGTTTTTACCACAACTATTTCTGACATTTCTACACCTGACATTTCCAACAAAAGCAAACAGAAGGGAGAAAGAACTCAACATGTAGTTCATTGAACTATCTTTTTGGGTTTGGGTTTGTAGGTTTTTTCCCAGTGTTAGGGTATGCAGAGTAACTGTGGTTGCTGTTGTATTGAGGAGGAAGGGATATCTTATGACAGGAGTCCAGGAGGGAGAAGTGAGCCCAAGATGTCTCTGAACTTTGGGCTTACACTTCTTGGATAATTTTTTCAAATCAGATTAATTCCTGAGCTATATAAACCAGGCAGCATCATGCAGATCACTGGTTTTGAGAGGGGACAAGGCGTTTAGCTCACTGGTAGACATCATACTTCTTATTTTCTGAAATTAATTTATTTGGGAATGGATGTGAAAAGATGGTTAGACTAAGACAGATAACATGATTTCAGGGTTAGGCCACTGAACTCCTGAGAACCCAGATGCATCCTATCAGTTGTGTCTGCAGAGAAGACAAGAGGCTGCACTTACGTTTGACAGTGCTGCGTGACTCCTGGAACCCAGCTGACTCTGAACCCCAGCCCAGGGCTTCACACTCCTGCTCGTCCCCTTGCCCATGCCTGGCACTGGTGCTTGCACCCGCTCTGCTCCGCTCTGCCAGCCAGCACATCCTCCAGAGCCCCACACTGCGCTTGCGCCCGTCCTCCAGCGTTTGGTACACCCAGTTGGGGGTAAAGGCAGCCGCGTTGTTAAGGATGAGTGAGACCAGAGCTACCAACACAGCTGTGGCTACCAGTTTCTGGACAGTCATATCTGACTGTCAGCTTACTGCCAGACTCTAATTGCAGACAACACGAGGTCCCAGTCAGCTGCAGCACATTGAAATTGGGCTGGGAACAGGCAGCTGCGCTAGGTGTTACAGGGCGCTAGAGGACATCACCGTTCATTCTTGAAGTCAATTCCTGAGGGACTTCTCACCAAGGAAATAAGAATTTTGTGAGGTAGATAGGAGAATTCCATAAAATAAGAACACAAAGAAGCTTTGTTATGTCCTTCCCAGCACTGACTTATCCGCCTTCTTGCACTTTGATAAGTAATGCCAGTCTCGTGGTGAACTGGGTGACAGGGAGGTCCATTCCGTGTTGGATAGGGTGAATCCAGTCAGAATCCAGTCTCGGGGCCGGAGAGCCTGATCAGGGGTGGGATGGGATGTTCCCTGTAGCCTGCTGAGCGCCGGGTCCTCCAAGCCAACCAGTGCTGCTCCAAAAGCTTAGGTTTGCGTGCAGACTTCAGAATATCCTGCAAACGGTGACAGATATCATCCTCTCAAAGTCAAGCCGAGCCAGAGGGGAATGTGGTCATCCCAAAGGTGATCTGCAAGTCTGGAGTATCTCGAGCCGGTTGCTCTGCCCTGTCCCTCTCCGAAGAGCCGAGCTGTGAGTGCCGGGACGAGAACAGCCACTGCGGTGAGGAAAAGGCCCCCCCACCTCCGCACCAAGAGGAAATAGCTGTTTTTGTGGCTCGTTTTGGTGAGCCTCAGGGCGTAGTCGACTGCAAAAAAAAAAAAGAGAGCCACTGCCACGGCAGTCAAACATTAACAGGATGCGTTTCCTGAAAGGAAAAGACTATGGAGACTTCTAAAGTTGTCCCTCCTCCCCTCGGAGAGCCCCCTCCCTGCCTCACGCCTCCTCCTCAGAGCTGCCGGGACCCGCAGCGTCTCGGAGAGCCCGGGGAGCGCAGCAGAGCTCCTCGAGAAAAGGAAATAAGGAAAACCCAGCGTCAGCCCTCGGGGTATCAGCTCTGTGCAAGCGGATCGAGGAGAGGGATTTTGAAATACCTTTTACTAGAACCAAAACAATATTGGGGTTCGCTGCTGGACAGCGCGACGAAAGCGCTGCGGGGGTGCCCTGATGTCCGCGTCCTCTCTGCACCACAGGAGGGACCGTGGCAGATAAATAGGAAGTATAAAACCTCGAGATTCTCAACCCGGTAACAGCCCAGTTTGGGGGTGTCTGCAAAGGCAGGGGGCAAGTGTTGGGGTGTGAGCGAGGCTGGGAGCCATGGCGAGCCCGAGCCCCGCAGAGCCTCGAGGGACGCTGCCCTCCCCGCTCGGTGCCCAGGGCGTGAAAACTCTGCTGCCGTGTGCTCGGGGGGATGTCCCTGCTGACAGCCCGGCAGGAATAGACTGCCACAGGGCAAGGGGCTTCTCTTCACAGACAGGTGCTTCTCTGATAAACCCGTTAAAGAGAGTTGCTGAGGGTATTCCAAACTGTCCCTGAACCTGGATGTTTCCAGAGCGGTCCTGCCCAGACTGGCACTCCAAACGGCCTCGGCAGCACCGGGAGGAGAACAGGGATCCTGGTGGGCACTACCTGCAGCCGGGTGGTGCTGCCAGGGGTTGTACCCCTGCTGAGCTGAGCCGGGCACAGTTCTTCAGGCTTCACAAATACCGCACGAGTGTAGCATTGCCTCGTACACACTGAACTGAAGGCACAACATCCTGTCAGCACTGAGACCTGGCACGGACCTGCCTCGCCGGGCACTGCCACACCTGGGGGGCTGGCACGGGAGTTCACATCCTGGTAATCAATACATTAGGTTACAAACTGATTTCATTTTATAGCGGCTCCATCTTGCCAAGACAAGAGGCTTTGCCCTTAACCAACCAATCTGCCCTGACCCGATATACAGAAAGAAACTGGTCTGAAATTTTTTGCAAGACAACATTTTCTTTTCAAGACTTGTTGGTGAGAGAAGGGGGGAAAATTCCAATAAAGCTGATATGCTCCTGTAATTAGTTTTCAGCTACTGAAATTGAAGGTACTAACCTGGCTATGAACTCAACCCTCCTCCATGTGCTCTGATAATTTTTAATCTTTTAAACAAATTAAGTTTTAAGTACTTTGAGCATCTTCATCCCTTGAGAGCACTGTAGCATCATTGGTTTATCTTTTTCCCTGTGATTGGTCATGTTTCTGTACATTTCTGGTTTTAGAACTTCCAGTATAAGCACAGTAGTGTCTGCCATTCTTCAAATAAATGTCCTACCAGCAATGACTGTCTTTGCATATTTTAAACCCCTTGGGTTACTTGTTATTATGATTTTTGTTACTTATGATTTACTTGTTATTATGATGTTATTATTTATTATAAGCCAGGCATTCAGCAGCAAGGCAGATGATGTTTACATGCAGATAATGCCAGGACAGATTTACCTTTAGGGAAATGTCACACACCTGCTTCTGCCTCCCCCCATTTGATTTTTGTGATTTGGTGAAATTGGAGTGTGTATTTTCAGGAGGGTCCAAGCTTCCTTCTCATGTAACATTAAAAACAATAGCAATTATATTTTACAAAGGCTGAACAAATCAGTCTAATCATAGAATCATAAGGGTTGGAAAAGATCAAGTCCGACCACTGCCCTAGCCACAGAGCCATGTCCCCAAGTGCTACATCCACACAGCTTTTAAATCCTTCCAGGGATGGTGACTCCACCACTTCCTCAGGCCGCTGTGCCAGTGCCCAACCACTCTTTCCATGAAGAAATTTTCCCTAATATCAAATTTAAACAGTATGGGAATCCTGATCCTTAATAAAACACTGCCTTAGTGAATGCTTCTTTGCTGACAAACAGGCAGCAGTATGTTCATTTTTCAGCACTCACGGCATTCTGTGGGGCACAGGGGTTGGTGTCATACAACCCACACAGAGCAATCTCTTGGTGTTGGTTTTATGAGGGTAAGTGGAACAAAGCTATGTATTCAATGGGATATTATAGATCCATTCTGTGAAGTTGCTTTATCAAATGGTATGTTTCTGCCAGGGAAGAGTTTTTAGGAGTAGCCTCATCAGCTTTCAGTGTTTGGATCATACATGAAATATGCCTGACTTTTCTTAGAGTAGCTCATATAATATCATGAACGCTATAAAGAGTCTCATTGAACCGTTACACCTTTTCATCTATTACTTAATTCCTTGTTGTCTTTTAGCCCCGTGGAAAGTTATAACCAGGATCCTATAAATGCATTTTATATTAAAAGCATCAAACCTAATTTAGCAACATCAGCTAAAACCTCATTTTCTCTCATAAGTCCTTAGAGTTTTCCAGTCTAGTGGAAGATATCCCTGCCAGGGGCAGGGGTTTAGAATAAGATGGTTTTTAATGTCTTTTCCTACCCAAACTATTCTGTGGTTCTGTGATTATCTAACACATTATATAACATTATAGAATGCAATATTAATTTGTTATATATAATGTGTATATTATAGGGTCCAGTTCAACAAAATGCGGCCCACATTGAAAAGAGATTTTTTTTTATCCTGATCAATGTTAATTTCCCAAATATAGCCCATTAAATAGAGGGAGAAAAGGTTTTTCAGTGAGATGCTTCAGACATATAAATTTTCAGCACTTCTAAATAATATTCCATTTTTCCTTTAAACTTTAGTGCTTTAGGCAATGAAAAATACATGGTAACAGAAGAGTTTGTGAGGACTGTGGATGCTGTAAACACAGTTCCACAGAAAAACAGATGTGAAAGGTCAGATACAAAGCAAGGAAACTTTCATCAAATATGTGGTAAGATTTGTGTCCACTCTTAAGAGGCATCAACATTTGCTTCCCAAATCCCTGGCATTGTGGATGTGGCCTGGAGCCTGGGAGCACAGGATTCAGCAGTGTATCCCTGTGCCTGGTAAGGGGCTTGGGGCTCTCAGGCTGCTTGGGATGCCTTTCCATGGCTCTGCTCCCACTGCTGCTGTGCCTGGGCTTCCTTAAATTTCCAGCTTTGGCTGATGAAGTACAGATGTGAGAGGCTTTGGGGGGCGGGGGGGGGTGGTGAAAGGAGGAGGAGGAGGGGAAGAACAGGAAATTCCTGGAGTCACAGTTGGGGGCAGGGAAAAATATTACTTGGCATTTTTATATGGACAGCAGGGCCAGGCGTGGAAAGTAGAGTTGCTGCCTTTTAGGGATGCATGGAGAAATTCAGCTTTCTTACTACACTGGCAGCTGTTTTGAAATAAACTGTGGTTTTCCCTGGGATTTAAGTGAACCTGTTCTGCACCTCCTGTTTTTTGTTCCTTCACCAGACCCACATCCATCTGCCCACATTTCTGAAGGGCAGCAAAACTTGCCCTGGTGCTGGAGGTGTGTGGCTGCCAGGGAGGTTGTGCAGCTTGTGGTTGAGGTTGGTCTTCATGAAACAGAGAGAAATGGAAGTGGATTGTGGATGCTGCCAGGACCCCTTGCCCTTCCCTACCCTTTCCTCTCCATGTACCTTATCAGAGCACTGTCCCTCTTGTGAAGGATGTGTCTACTGGAAAGATCCAATGTCTGCTGCAGTTCCATGGGGAACGTGGCTGTTGCTCTGCCCTGTGCAGCTGCTAGCCAAACCAAGTGGGGTATGGCAACTGCTCTGGGCAGAGCAAGGGTTCCTTAGGTAAAACACTCCTTCAGGTGTTTCTTCAGGGTGGAAGCAGGAGAAGGGATGGTCAGAAGGAGTCAGTGGTCTCACCTCCCATGGCTTCTTGTGCTGGTGAGCTGCTCTGATCATGTCTCTCAGATCTTCGAATCATGGAACAGTTTGAGGTGGACCTTAAGGACCATCTAGCACCAACTCTCTGCCATGGGCAGGGACACCTTTCTTTATTGTCCTTCTTATCTCTTGCTGTGGTCTCCGTGCTGGGTGAGTCCATGCAAGCTGTGCTTTGCTGTGAACACTCCCAAATTCAGTGTCTTTGGTAAAGTTTGAGCCTCGTGGGCTCACCCCCTGCCCAGCCAGGGTGGGAGAAGGCAGTGCCTGCCACAATAAAATCAAGTGCAGAGCACATTGACTGCACATGTTTCTCCATCTGTTTGTTGCTGCCAGCAGCATACCCATGGCTCAAGACTCTCAGGTTCGTTTTGCAAATGGTTTGAAGTGTAGGAGAAAGAGGTGGGATGGCAGAACTCCAGCTCCTTAGGGCAGAGGTACCTGGGTGCCTGTGTGGCCCAAAGGCAGGTGGTGGGGGGGGGAAGAGCTCCCAAAGAGGAGTCCTAGGGGCAGCAGCTCCTGATGAATTTTGACACTGGCAAGAATTGTTGCCATCCAGGAAAGCTTAAAACAGCTGAGAGATAATGAGCAACATCTCCTAAATCCTGTTATGACTCCCTGCACACCGTTATCTTTTAACTTTTTACTTTAAAATACACTGTGTAGTTTGTTTTCTCTCAAAAGTTTCCACTCCCTGTAGTCTAAATAAGAATCTCATCCTCTTGCCTGTTTGAGCCCATGAACTCTCATCTTCCTGCATGGGGGAGTTGAGAGCTGTCAGAGCTCCAAAAAAGAAAGACTTTGATTTCCTTTCAGAAACTCACTGTTAGTCAGCTTGACAAAGGCCAGCACAGACGTGCGTTCCTTCACTCCAAGCCAGCTGGCTGTTGGCAGCTTCTTCTGGCACACTGCAGAGCTTGGGAAATGTACTTCTCTTCAAGTGCTGTGAAGCACA